AGTTTGCAAATGGAGCGGGTGTTCGCAAATAGGCACCGGCCCAGGGCCTGGCGAGGGCCTGGGTCCCAGCCCAGCCCTCCCAGCCCAGCCCAGCCCAGCCCGGCCCAGCCCAGCCCAGCCCAGCCCAGCCCCCATTATCAACAGATGCTGGTGAAACTTGCTCTAACTTTTTATGTTAGGACTTACATGTCACTTGTAACAGGCAGGCGGAGAGCTCGGACCTGACCGCCCTGAACCCTAAACCGACCTTGCCACGCTTGTCCGAGTGTGAGTGTCAAAACCGAGCTGTGCACCCGCCACAGTACCGAACGCACCCTGCAATGCCGGCTCGTCCTTGCTAAGTAGGAGAGAAAAAACCGAGCCAGGGCTTAAGGTTTTGGCGTTTAGGGTTTAGGGTTTAGGGTTTAGGGTTTTGGTTTAGGGTTTAGACTTAAGGGTTTAGGATCGCTAGTCAAGGCTGGAATGTGGAGCTGCTCCTGGACAGCATCATCGAAGCTGCGCGCCTCGGAGTGCACATATCGCTTGGGAAGCTGGTTGTGGTAGTAGAATCTTAAAATCCTCAAACCCTAAACCCCTAAACCCTAAACCCCTAAACCCTAGATCTCCCCTAACCCCCAAACCCCTAAGCCCGAAACCCTAAATCTCAAACCGCTACGCTCTAAACCCGGAGACCTGCAGCTTGGAAGCCTCAAGGCACCGGGAAACCCATAGGCATGTGAGTGGGTTTATGTGTGTGTATATATATATATACATATATATATATATGCATGTGGGTTTATGTGTATATATATATATATATGTATATATCTATATATATGCATGCATGGATCTGTCTATCTATCTATCTATCTATCTATCCATCTACTTTTATCTAACTGTGTTATCTGTACATTCCAAGAAGAGCCCCTGTGGATCGAAGGCATCAGAACCGATGCAACGCGCTCATCGACACCGGCGCCTTGATTACGGGGCTCACCAACCAAGAGGCTGGCAGATTGGGGTTTAGGGTTTAGGGTTTAGGTTTTAGGGTTTAGGTATTGGGGGTTGTGTACTTGGAGGCTCATGGTAGTTTTAACCCAAATATAACTGGCTTACAACCCCTACTATAAGTCCCCTAAATACACTTACCCAGGTTATAACTGGGTTATAATTATAGTTAGAACTGGGTTATAACTACCATGAACCTCCAAGTAATGTTGCTTAATGTAGGGGCCCAAACTTAGGGGCTGAGTAGGTAACCTTTAACCTTTTGGGGCTTTATGTAACCCGAGTATAATTCAATTGGTTAACCTGTTTGGGGCTAGGATACTCAGCCCCTCAGCAAATAATTACCAATACTATTTTGAGGGTCCCTTGTTCTGACGATAGTACAACGCATCCCAAAAGCCTATTCTAATTATTAAGGCCCCTACATTAATGTCGTTTACTCGGTTCAGAGTTTGCAAATACAGGGTTTTAAAAAGAGTGTGTGCAGAGTTGTATGTTCCGGAGCCTGGATAGTTACAGGATAACATATGTCAGCTGCACTTATCTAACGCGCAGAGAAGTCCCATGTGTCCCTTGGTCAAGGAATATTGCTGTTGAATACTTCCCGACCTGAGAAGCAGTCTGGCTCAAGCATCCAGGCCAGGGCCACTGTCTTTTGTTGTTTGCCAACTCCTCCGGCCGCTCCAACAAAATCCCCCTAAACCCCAAATCATTCGGACTTCTGTTCGCAGACAAACCCGATTAAAATTATTAAGGCCCCCATATTAAACCCTAAACCGCAAACAGGGGAAGCTTGGATTTTTTCGGTTCCGGCGTATTGGGATCCCCTTTCATCCCGAGCGATGGGGCGTGGCCTGTGGCGATGTCTCCGAGCCGCTCGGAGCCGGACGCCCGTAGACTAGTATAGGGGCCTTCATAATTAGAAAAGGGTTTTGGGGCCCATTATGCTACAATTACAATAGGGAACCCCCAAAAATAGAATTCTTCTTCTGCGGATGATTTGGTGTTTAGGGTGTAGTGTTTAGTCGGACTTGCAAGCGAATCGCAACTCCACTTTACGGCTGGGGATCTCTCCTTAGGGCTTAGGGCTTAGCAACCTTAGTAATTAGTTAACATTCCGGATCCTTGGATTTCCAATGCTACGCTCTTTCGGTTGTCACCAAAGCCTTGGCCGGTCGCCAATCTAACCCTCATTTCTGAGAGTCCAGGTGGCGGGCTCGAGCCACGACCTGTTAAGGTAGGGGCCTTGACAATTAGAACACAATTTTGGGCTACATCAGCATTTTTCAGGCTTTATAGTAAATCAAGCCTCGAGTGCTGAAAGTGACCACACCCAGCTGGCTCCTTGACTCTTGACTTATAGGAACCATGGTACGGAAAGCCTACGTATTAATCGTAACATGTCCCTTTTGATCAGTCCCTAAATCCAAAACCTTACACACAACATGACTTACAAGAGATGCGCGAAGGGAGCCTTAATCTCCCAAGCTCAGGTTGCTGGTGCCTTCGTCTTAGCTGCGGGACTTCGCTCTAGCGACTCGCCAGGAAAGGTTTTGTAAAGGTTCAAAGTAAGGACTTTTGGGTAAGGGTTCAGGGTTTAGGGCTTTTGAAGGCCTTGAGGAGGCAGGAACGCTTGAGCAGGTTGCAGCGTGCAGCTGGTGAATGATCAAACTGGGCGGCAGTACACAGCTATGTAAGTAATTAGACATGTTTGGCTTTGCCTCTCTTGAAAAGCTAGAGAGATCGATGAAATCATACTGCTAGAGGCACTTCCGAGAAACCCTAAACCCTAAACCCCAAAACCCCAAAACCGACGCGTCTGCCGAGCTGC